CAGCCTCCACGGGACAGACACAGGATGAGTTTTCCTCAGTCCAGGCTGCTCCAGCTGCCAAGGAGAGACACCAATTCCCACTGCAGGTGTGCACCTTTCCCTGCAATGTCCCACTGGGATCAGCCTACAGTTTGCAGCTCAGGTGTGATGCTGCCAGGGGAAGAGCTGCATTCCACAGCCTGGCTACCTTGGGATGCTGACTTTGCACTGTGTGCTGGACTTCAAATTGGTTCTCATTTACAGAGAAGGAGGAAGCCATTGTGTTCAGAGAAGTGAAAGCCAGTGGGATGTTCTCTATTACTTTTGAAAACATTTTCTACATAAAGCAGTTCCCTTAAAACACAACCCCCAGAGTGGTGAGTACTTCCAAAATTTGAGTTTTCTGTCCCCTGTGGAGACACTGGCTGCAGACAGGTCCAGACATCTGCTTTTCATTTCCTGCTTTATTCTTAAATGTGAGAAAATACAAAATTGTGTGGTGCCTTTCTTGATCCCCTGCAATTTAATTCTCTCCCTTATTACAGTAATGGCTCAAGAGCTCTACATGAAGCACAGAGGCTTCTCCAAAGGGCATCTCCAAAGTAAGAGGCCATATTTGGCTCTAAGGAACCTTCTCCTGAGTTTGGCAAGGGTGTCCTTGGCCAGAAGAGAGGGGTTGGTGGGTTGGTTTGTGTCAGAGCAGCATCTGAGCTCCAACACCACTGAGGAGAGGTGGTTAGTGTGAGGGTGAGCTGCCACGAGGCAGCTGGGAGATTTGTCAGGGGAAAGAGAATCCCATCCTATGTCCAGAGCTGGAGTCATTGTCAGTGTGTCTCCCTTGCAGCACCAACACTGGCTGGGTTGTCCCAAAAATGAAATGTTCCTGCTGCCTCTTTCCAGCAAGCCTCTGGGATGAAGGGCAATACTGTGGGCAGACAAGGATGCAGTCAGTACCTGTTCTCTGATCCACTCTGGCATCTTTTAGATCAGATACAGGCTCCTAGCTCTCACTTACTTTCCCTTTTAATTCTCAGTCTTGACCTTATTTCAAAGAATACAAATATATTTCTTTCACAAAGAACCAAACAGCAAAGATTTCCCGCACGGAAACTCCCTGAAGGAGATGGGAGGTGTTCTGGGGCCATTTCCTGTTTGTTTAGGACACATCCCACATTCTTTTTATATGTTGTTTTGCATAGAAAGCTTTGCAGGCTCAAGGTGCTGTTTGCCTTCACGAGCAATTCCTCAGGCACAAGTCATATATTCCCTCCACCGTGAGGACCTTGACCCTGTGCACAGCTCAAGCTGGTTGTGAACAGCCCTGGTGTTGCAGTGTGATTTCATGGTTTAACCCTGAACCCCGGGTTTCTCCCCTGAAGATTTCCTCCCAGGTGTGTCAATCACTCCTCCTTTCCTCACCCTGACCCCTGCCAGCACCGTCTGTCACTCCTGGAATTCCTGGGCAGATTCAAAATATGCCCTACATCCGCAGGGGGCATTAGGCCATCCCGGTGTCCTCTCCCATACCTGGTTGGTGGCTCCCTATGCCTTCTCTCCTCCCCTTCCCCAAGTAAAGGGAGAGCAACAAGGGAGAGTTCTGTTGGAGCAGTTGCTGCATTCAGTTGCTGCAGGCCAGAATAAAAGCTCTGGATTAAAACCCTCCATCAGAACCGACTCCTTTCCTTCACTACTGCCTTAAAGCTCCTCTGGCAGAGGGAAACCTGAGGAGCAGACCCTCTGTGAGAGGAAACTCCATCCCACTGCCACCGGAGCTCTGGTATGTCTGGACTTGTCTCCACAAGCCCAGCTGCAACATCCAGCTAGCTGTTATAGGAAGAATTAATCCAGCCAAATTAAAATTAAAACCAGTTTTTATTTAGTGATCAAATTCTATCTGAGCCAGCCACAAAGAAAAGGACAGTGCCAAGCCCGGGATTGAGACACAGGTCTGACCACCACACCATAGGGTCCCCTGTGTTTCACACCGACCCAGCAGTTTTTATACAGTTTATTTTGCTCGAGGCAGGGATTTCGGGGAAGTGATGTACATCCCTGACTGAGTTATGGGAACTTGGCATTGAATCTCAGTCGAGCTATGTGTATTAGCTTGTAAATGAAGTTTTATCAGTGGAAGTTTCAACATATGCGAGGCAACCCCCTAGCTCAGACTTGTGTGCTTTATGCCAGTATTTATTAGTAATATAAAACATTACATCCATATCACCCCGTAGGTGTGAATTACCCATTTTACACACAGCATAGCCAAAAGTATCTCTGGGGTGAAACACCACAGTGGCCACATTTGGTTCAGCCACAGGGGCCAGACAAGCCAAGGTACGTCCTGTCCTCAATACTGGTAATACCAATACCCTGCCAAAGCTGTGGTGGGTGGGAAATGCTGGAGCTGCTTTTATGTATCTCCTGGGTAAGATGGGATCTGGCACTTTGACCTGTGGTTTGGAGCAATAAACTGAATTCCTGCCTAAGGATTGCAGCAATCAAAGGTTAGGGGATGACATCATATCAGGCTTCTGAGCGTGCCTGGTGCCTGTCACCAATGTCCCCAGCAGACCTTGTTCTCCTTTTGTGTGCATCAAAACTGGTGTTTAGGTAGCAGAACATCTGTCCTGCTGCAAAAATGTCTTTAGAGCAGAGCAGGAGCTGGAGGCAGAGAGCGCAGACTCCAGCATGGACACTGAACTGTCTGGTGTGACATCCTTTTGTGGGTGCTGAGGATCACACCTGGGGCAGTGCTGGAGAGCCCAGAGCTTGCAGAACTCCCTGGTGGTGCCCAGTGTCCAGTGTATGATGTCCACACTCCATGGCAGGAGCACAGGTGAATGTTTGTGGGTGTTTTTTCCTTGTCCATGTTTCCAAGTCTTCCTCAGCCATACTGTAGTTACTGGTGGTCATCTGCCTGCTTGCCCTCATTCATATCACAATTTCATCTACAGGTCCAGATCTACACTGAAAACCAACCTGCTATTCCTGGAAACTACAGTGAAGCTAAATCAAATTGAGAAAACAAGTGCCCAGACAATTCCTACTGTAACTAAAGAAGCTAAAATCTGTGGAAGGTAAGAGAAGTCCTGAGATCCTTCACTGTCATGTGGGAATCCTTAAAATCAGAGAGTTTTGGGAAAGCTGCAGAAGGCAGGCCTCAGAGACAGCAGAACTGTGATTAGAGCTAAGCAGCCTGCCTTTTGCAGCTTTCCCAAAACTCCCTGATTTTAAGGATTCCCACATGTCAGAATGACAAAATGCATGTGGTTTACCATGAGTTATATCAGGAATATCTCCTGGAATACATCAGATCCTCTGACTTTACGTTCTTCAATGCTGCAAGACCTCAAAGAAGTGTGGTAAGGGTCTGGTGTGGAGGAGCAGATGTGGGATGATGATGGGATGGGATGGGATGGGATGGGATGGGATGGGATGGGATGGGATGGGATGGGATGGGATGGGATGGGATGGGATGGGATGGTGCTATAGGAAGTGGGTTGGCAGTGATGGTGCCAGTTTTCTGCCAGCTGCAGCCTGGGTTTGGCTCTACTCACTGGAGCTGCCTGCTCCCATTGGAGGCAGTTGCTGTGCCTCTGTGTCCTGCTTTTGGTGGGAAATACAGGGCTTGATGGTGGCTTAGGCCCTCACTGCTACCCACTTGATGGCTGTGGTGTCCCACAAAGCCACGCTGCCCTCCCCCACACTCCTGCTGCAGAATTTCCTTGTGCAGATGTCACCTCCAAATCCAGCTGAGATCACCTGGAGCAAATGGAGATGTCCAAAAGTGACCTAGAGGAGTCCTCTGCCAGGTAAAACACCTCCAGCCCAACCTGCAGAGGAACAGCAGCTGAATTATCTGCCACAGAGCAGTTTGTGCCTTAAAACAGCAATGCCTATGGAAAGTCTTGCCTTTGGCAAACAAAGCACTCCCACTTAGCTGAATGTCAGAGCTCTTCTTCAGTTTTACCTATCTCTGCCAGCAAACCCTTTGCAGAAAATGCAGAACCTGTCTCTTCAGGGGAGATGTGAGAATATGTAGGCTGTGCCATCACTTCCAGCAGCCAAGGTGCCCAATGGCTTCAGGCAATGCCATTTCCTAGGACAAAAGTTTCCTGTTGACCTTGAGAAAACACCATTTGAGGAAGGGACAGAAAACATCCCAACAAACTCAGCATGTTCTGTTCTTGCTAGATCAAACAGACTATTTCAAGCCTTAATTATTATTTCATTTCCTTGAAATGGGCTTTTTCTTCTAATACAGTATAAGCAAAAACTGAAGTCGCAGGCTGGGATTTTCACCAAATGCATTATATGGAAACCTGGGGGTTTTCTCTTTTGAAAACTAAAATCCTGAATGGAACCATTGGAATTTCCCACAGCACAGAGATGCCAGATTTCCTCCAGCCCTAAGAAAACTTCAACAAAAAAGATTCCTGAGGCAGTCACAGACTCACTCTTGAGCTTATCTTCATCCTTCAGCTGAGGGAGTTGTCAGGGGAAAATTGTTCTGTCTCCTGGGAGCAGAGATGAAAAGAGAAAGTAAAGGTGCAGGATGTGCCTGCAGTGCTGTTGTGTCCGCTCTGAGCTGCCCGGGGCTGGCACCGGAAAGCCCAGAGACAGCCTGGCTCTTGCAGAGCTGGGGTCTCCTCTCCTGCTCCAGCAGCAGCAGGACCCCGGTGTCTGAGCCCCTGTGCTCATGGATCTCAGGCTGTCCTAGCGAGCACACGCTGCAGACAGCACGGCCAGGGCACAGGAGCTGCCTGCAGAGCCACTGGCTCCTGCTCATCCCTCTCTTGGGTGATGCTCCTTAGAGGCAACCTGGCCCGGGATCAGAGTGTAGCTGATGAACTCATAACCCTGCCCAGCAAATTCTGTCTCTTTTGGCCTGATGGCTGCTGTTGTAAGATGGCTGCCAAAAAGGAAAGGAATAACTGCTTTGGCATTTCGGGTAATTAATGAGCTTACTGAGCAGCGGGGTGCTGGAGCTGGAGGTGGGGAGAGCTTTACAAGCCTAAGGACAGTGACGCCTTGGCAAGAGCCACATTGGTGGGACAGGAGGAGGGAGCAGCCGACCACTGAAAGTCCCTGCATAAATAATTTGCCAAATAGTCTGGGCTGCTCTGCGTGTGCTGGGAAAAGCGGTAAGTACATGCGGGGAATTCCAGGGACCATCCCGCGCCAAAGGAATCGTATTCCCTCCCTCTCCCTCTCTTCCCTCCGCCTCCTGTCGTCATCCTGGACACGTGTGAGGACCTGAATAACAGCTAAAGCTCTGTCTCGGCGCTTCATCATCCTGGAATGAGCGGCAGCATCCGTGTCGCTCCGGAGGATGCAATAAGCAGCCGGGAGTGGGAAATACTGCCGGTAATCCCTCCCTGCCTGCCTTTCCTTCTGCCGACCACGGGAACATGAAGGCTGCCTGTCTGCAGATGCTGCTGCTGCGGGCCCTGTGCCTGCTGAGCCTGGCTGGAGGTGAGGCACACTCCGCTTGTCCCCAGGCTGCCGGGGACAGCCAGGATCGGGAGGGGAAGGGGCCGGTGGCGCTGCATCGGGCTGCAGGGACCGCTGCGGGATGCGGGAGAGCTCCGAGCAGGATCGGGCTGGGCTCGGGAAGCGGTGCGGGGGGAAGCCAATACATGGCCGCAGTCGTGGCCGCAGGGACACCCGAGCAGCCCAGAGATGGCTTCTGCCGGAGGGCAGACGGGGAGAGTGCCGGAGACACTTCCTGATAGCCTGTATTAGGAAAAAAAAAAGCATTAAGTACTTCTTGTCCCCCTTTTTTCACCTCCCTGGGGACGTGGCAGGAAGACTGCAGCCTGGCCAAGGGTGAGTGTGTGAGGAGACTACACGCTGTCCTGAGGGTGCCGGAGCGGCCATGCCTGTGAGGCGGGGGCTTCGTCACTGCAGTGTGTAAGTGCGTGTGTACCAGGGCAGCCGCTCTCCTGGACAGAGATCTGTTCTCTGGATAAAGATGTGTTCTCTGGATAAAGGTCTCTGCGAGCTCCGGGCCGTGCTGGGCTCCTCGGCCCGGGCTGGGCTGGCTGTCAGTCTGCGGCTCACTCGCCGCTGCCCAGGGCAGCCCTTCAGCAGGGCGGCGGTGCTGGGCTGGCACGCAGGCTCTCAGCACCGCAGGCAAGGCTGGACTTTGCCCACAACCGAGGCCCGATCTATTCCCACGATGCAAAGAGACCCTGAGATCCGTCCTGCTGCCGCCAGAGCCGTGGGCAGGTGGGGATGGAGCTCCTCCCTGCTCACGCCTCTGGGCAGGTTCTGCCGGGCTGGCCCGAGAAAAGGGGACAGCAGGGACACCAGGCAGCTTACCCTGCCCTGGGAACCCGCTGTGCTTGGCACTGCCTGACTCCGCTCACCCATGGCCAAGCATCCATTTCCCCCGCGAAGAGGATACAGGGCTGCCTCTGCTAAAGGCCTGGTGGAGCTCCCTGGGTCTTTTGAGGAACTGTGCTGAAAAGCAGGTGCCAATGGCTCCTAAGAGCAGTGGTTCTGAGCGGAGAAATTCCCAGATCCCTTTGGCAAAGACTCAGATGCAGCTCAGAAAAGCGAGGTTGTGTACCCCAGGAGGAGGGCTCCATGCTCCCTGTGGCATCCCTCTGTCCTTGGAAGGTGCTTTCCAAGCTCCTCCACTCTGGGAGAAACCTTCCAGGAGTTCAGCCAAATGGAAACCATTTGTATTGGTGCCAATAATTGCAAAATCAGTTCAGGGTTCTCAAAGGAACAGATTAACAGGGCCTTTGGGAGCAGTCAGGGACTGCTTCCCACCATGCACGTCCCTGGCCACCCAGAGGGATGGTGTGGCCCTCTTGTCACTGTGCCTGTTTTGTTGAACTGTGCTCTTGAAAGTGGAAGGCACCAGCAGAATATCCTCTGGCTAATGAGAATTGATTGGGAAGACAGCTGCCCTGAATTCCCAGCAGAGAATTCTTGACCCTAAAATGCCACAGAATACATTATTGTGTGAAAAAAGAATTTTGCTTTAGCTTGACTTGACCAAGAGTTGGAAGTGGGCTTCTGTAGAGGTGCCACAGGAGTGTTTGCTTGGGATTTCTTTGCAACCAGAGTTTTCTCCAGTAAATTATTCAGAGTGCTCTTGCATTGATGCTCATTCTTGTACCTGGCACCTGGATCATTCCTAACTGAACTGCATAAAATTCGCCCCATTCATTTGGGAATCAGAGGCAACATTTTGTAAGAGACAGTCTGATTGAAACCAGACTCCAATTTCTTTCTTTACAGAGGCCCCAGATAAATCAGGGCTTGTTTTTGTAAATCTTGTCCCCAGGGCTGTCAGGAACAAGTTGGCAGGATGTGTTGTGCAAGTGCCTTTTGTGGGAGGCTGGAGGTAGATGCAGGCATGAATGGGCCCCAGTGGTGTGACTGGCCTTGCCCCTTGAAGGGGTCAAGAGGGGTTTTATTTTTACACTTTGCAAACTGAAAACCGTATTTTCTGGTGGAGGTTGAAAAGATGTGTTTGGGAAGCTGGGCTGCTGAGATACCTGTGGGAGTGAAGCATCATTCCCCAAAAGGTTCTTGCTGTGCACTTTTTCCCCTTTTCTCTGACCTCAGGGGGCGTTCAGAGACCGTGCAAGCAGAGAGGCAGGATGCTCACCTGGAGGGGAAGTCCCACAGGAGGAAGAGATAAGACTGATAGGGAGAGAGCAGAGCACCCTTGCCAACTTGTGAGGGTTGCAGCAGGTCTTTGGGGGATGAAGAAATGCATTTTCTGGGCATTGTGCTGAGACCAGTCCTCCTGGTAGCCAAAGGGGAAAGGACCTGCAGGTCCAGGGGCTTGGACATCCTACAGGACAAGCTGAAACGCTGTCCTAAAAGTCCACAGTTTTCACAGTGCTTCCCCCCACCCCCAGTTTTCTGGGTATCCCATTACATGTGTGGGTGCTGTTGTCTTCATCAGGATCTGTCTTCATCTCAGTTCAGCAGGATTAGAAACTTTTGTGGCAAGAGCATTGGAAACCTTTGCGGCAAGCTTTGGACTCTTCCCTGGAGAAGGGAGAAATGAAACAGTGCTGGTTTTGAGAGGCCCTGATAAAAAGCCAACACTTAATGAGGTGAAATTTTTATTTCAGGGCAACCCAAAGCACCTGTGAAGTGTTCAAACGAGTGCAGAAATTTTACAAGGAGGTTACCAGAGAAGCTGATCAGTAGCTACCGCGAGACCGAGCCCAGCTGCAGACGAAGTGCCACCATGTAAGTGCTGCCCAAATTCCAAGTGGGATCAGGGCTAAATGGATGGGCAAAGGGACTGAGTGATTTACTTGGTAGGACAGGGCAGAGGAACAATGCAAGAATAGAGCTCATGTGTTCCTCTGAAAGCAGATCTTTTGTCTGTAGGCAGATCCAGACTTGTGAGCTTGTCTGGAAGTGAGAAACGCTCCATTTCTTTTCTTTGGGATAATTGTTGTTTTGTGCTTGTGCTGAAGTTCATGCACCATTGATACCATTTTATTGCAGCCCAGGGGGTGGCTCCAAAGTGAAGGTGAAAGTGGGCTGACCTTGGAAAGTCTCACATCACCCAGTAAATCAGAGGGTTTTGCCTTCCATGCATGTGTGCCCTGGGGCAGCTGGTGCTTTCTGTGTCCAAGCAGGACAATGCTTTTGAAAGTGAAAAACTTCTTAGGGGAAAACCCTTCACCTGTGAGTCATGTTGAGCTGCTGCTCATTCAGTCAGATATCAGAGGCACCTGCCTGCCCTTCCTGAAATGAATCATCCAGACAATACTTGGTGTTTGTTTATCTACACACCTTCCCCATAGGTCTGATCACCTGAACCAGTGTTTTCTTTATTCAGTGAGTGATCCCTTTTTATTTTCAGACTTATTACTGTGAAGTTCAAGGAGATTTGTGCAAATTCATCTGAAGACTGGGTGAAGAAGATCAGAGACAAACTGGACAGGAAAAAGGCCACAGTGATGCCACCCCATGATGTCACCTCAGCAGAAGAGCCTGGTAGCATTGAGAGACATGTTGGTCTTCCAGAACTGGCTCCATCCCAAGCCACTGCTCCAACTAGTTTCTTCCAAGGGACTGGAACAACAATTAGGGAGAGAATACGTGCCTCTGCTGCCACGACAGAGGTGTCCAGCCAGCCCCCACTGGGCAAGCAGGACCCCACCCAGCTCCCTGCAGGATCCACCCCCGTGACACAGGAAGAGGCTGCACACCCTGAGGTCACTCCAGAAGCAAAGGGAGAGTCCTCAAATTCTCCTGCGTCTTCAGCAACCATTGCAGCAGGCGTGGGCTCCAGCCAGCCCACCCCAGGCCCCACTGCTCAAGATACAGCTTCTCCTGACTCAAACTCACACCTGAGGGCTGCTGCTGGAAGATCAAACCAACCTGAACTTTCTACCAGTGGATCCCTGGACCCTACAAGAGCCAGAGCCAACACACCAGACACTGCTTCCGGCAGGTCTAGGTCAGGTCTCCCCTCCATCTGGGACCGTATGAAGACCACAACAGTCACAGAGACAACACCACAGACTACTTCAGTTTCTACTCTGAGCTCCACCACTGCCATAGACAAAGCTGCTTCTTCTGTCCATACCAACAGGGTGGTTAGACCCTCTGCAAATGTGTTTGGCACTACAACATTTGATCATTCATTGCCTGTAGGGAAGCAGGAGCCTTCAGACAGAGTAGTTTTTACTCACCAGGCATTGTCAGGCCAAGCCAGAGTGCAGGTGATCACAGTCAGGCCCAACAATCTGCCTCTGCCCAGCTTCTTGTCAAAATCTCAAATGCACTTTGTCATCCCAGTTTCTGTGGTATGTGGACTGATGGCTGGCAGTGTTGCTCTTGTGTGGGTGTATCTGAAATTTGGGGTCAAACCAGAAGAAACGTCAAGAGAAATGGTGCAGGGCTTGCTCTACCAGCAGGCAGGACATCAAGACAATGTCTATCCAATGGAAGTAATATGAATGCTTCATGGCATGGACATTTCTGGCCTCAACTGTATGTGTGTGGATCCAGGAAAGCTGTTCATGCTGAACTGGTGACCAGTAGGAAGCAAGCATGGGAATAAAAATCACAGAGAAAACTGATTTTTTGGTAGAGCAGAATGCCCAATAATATATCTACTTTATCATTGACCAATCACAGTGTTTTGGAAATAAGATAGACACTTCTTTTCTACTGCCACTGTTCTGTACAAAGGCTGTGGCTGTTCTATTGCTGTTGCTCTTTGCCAGGTGATGTGGTTTTTTTCCAAGTCTCTGTTGGGAATTTTTCTGTGGTTCATCATGGCCTAGGCAAGAGGCCACTCACCCACCCACACTGCTGGACTTGGGCTCAGCCACCTTGAGAAATAGCACCAAACCCACACAATTTGCACTTAAACTCTCTGCTGCTTCTTTCTTTGCACTTCAGGTCTCTGCTCTGTCAGACCAAGACTGAAGCTGGTGCCCAGCTGGGTGCTGGCTCTCCTTGGGCTGGTGGAATTCACTCATCATTTTCTCTTGCTGGAGACACGAGGGATAGCCCAGCTTTTCAGAAATAGCTGACCAACACTGCATCTGATGAGGGGACTGAAGGTCAGTGCTACAGATCTTCTATTCAGAGAAGTTGGCAACCTCTATCTATATCCTCTGTCTATCTCCTCCTTGAAATCAGGCCCTTCCTTTTAGCAGCTATGGGTATTTCTTCTTGCAGATGAATTCTGAGAGCTGGTTCTTGGTAAATCAATGCAATAAATCCCTTCTGCCAGCTGATGCACCTTGTGTCCAGCTGCATCCATCACCATGGCAGGATAGTGCTGATGAATCTTCACAAAAGGGAGAAATCAAGAAGTCACCCAATAATTTTGCATAATTCCTATGTTATCATTGGAACAGTTTTGCTGTTCTCTGCAAGCACAAAATCCAAGAAATGTGGAGCTAAAGGCAATCCTGGATATAGTAATGAAGGAATTACTCTACTGCAGCAGATATAACATCCTTTTGATTTCATTTTCTCTCTAGAAATAAGCACATTTTCTGATCCACAAAAAAAAAAAAAAAAAAAAAAAAAAAAAAAAAAAAAAAAAAAAAAAAAAAAAAAAAAGGCAAAAAAGTAGCACAAAATGCCTATTAATGGTCCTATACTTCAGCCATATTTTACTTTTTCCATTTTGGATAGCACTGATCACCAGCCTATGAAAGCACTGTAACAGAACCAGGCTTTTTTAAACCCCAAATTGATTTTGATTTTTATACATCCTGACATTGCTGTACATAAGTGTTATGTTTTATCTGTGGTCAAGCCCTTATTAAACTTCGTCTCCAGGATGAATTCTACTGGGGCGTGCAAAGGTCTTCGTGATATAATACTTTGTAAGTAGAAGCACATCAAGGGTCAGATCCTAACCAACCTCAGTGGATCCGATCCCTAAGTACAAATATGCATGCAGAAAATAAAAGAAAGATCAGCAAGAAAAAAGGAAGAAAATAATAAGCAAGATCATAAAAAATGATGGGCCAGCTGTAAAGCAGAGCTTGAGGAATGTGGCCTGTTAGATCTGTCAGGTTGCACCCTCAGGACATCCATGCAGCCCTGCAGGGGGAGAGGACAAACTACAACTGTGCTTGCTTTCCATCACACATCCCTTACTTCTGCATTTTGTTGACTTGAGGGATTCCTCTCGGCCTTTGCAAGTATGGGATGCAATCAGATGAATTTCAATGATTAATTTGGAGTGAGATCCTTCCTTGTGCAGCAGCTCAGCTGTGGAACTCTGTCTGGGGTTGATTTTCCTAGAGGGTAAATCTGGCTCTGCCAGTGCCACCTCCCCATGAACCCCACCTGTGCGCAGCTGGAACTCGTGAGGTGATGTACTGAGGCATTATTTTTATATGAAACACTAGAAATGTTATTTTTGTAAAAAGGTTTTATAGCTTTTTGAATGTATGTAATGTCCTGTTTGAGCAGCTTGGAGTCGAGACCTTTTTGGCAGCACTGGGAAACACTGTGCCTTGTCTATTTTGTTGTGGGTCTTAGATGGCTTGTGCATGTCCATGGGAGCTGGATCTCTGCCCAGGCCCCTCAGCAGATGGAGTGGACACTTGTCTGCTGCAGGTGAAGTGCTTGTCTTGCAGCAATGCTGGGGAGATGGATGTGCACCAGCCAGATCACATGGAGTCCCACCAGTCTTGGGAAGGACACTGCTTCCAGCTCCAGCACCAGCTCCCACCATCTCCCAGCTGCCTGATCCCACTGGAACTCATCAGGAGCAGCTGCTCCTCCAGGCTGGCCCTGTCCTTGTGCTTTCCCTGCTCCCCTCTCCTATCCCTTGGCTGTTTGCAGGCAGGGTGCTGGCACCCTCACAGGGGACAGGTGAAACCCAGGACAGGGGGACACTGCTGTTCCTCTCTGCAATGGGCAGTCTGGGAGGGAGGGAGGATGGAGCCCGTGGGTGTCACCCATTCCTGGGGGTTAAAACACCACTTGCTGTAGAGCACAGTGACTGTTACAAGCTCCAGTTCATTTGTGTATTGAGTGTGTGCATGAGATATGAGCTGTACATTTTTATAGAACTAAAAGTAATAAAGTCTTTATGTTAAAAACTTTCACACCAAAAACTTTCAACTTTCAAGTCCTTATGTTAAAAACTCAGGGGATTGAGCCTTCAGCTGGGTTACCAAGCCTGGTCCCTGCAGAGGTGAACCCCTGTGATTGAGCACTGTGGAAAGCATCCCAGCATCACCAAGAGATGGCAAAGCTGGAACAGCTGGATGTGGCCAGGTTATTGCTCCCTCTCCTTTAAGGGTTTTGATCTTGCAGATGTTTGTAGGAAATTCCTCACAGGGGTTTGTGTCTTCCATCTTACTCAGGCAATAGAGAAAACTGGACTTTTGCTTTGCTTAAGCAAAGCTGAGGTCAAACAGCAGCTCAGAGACAGCGAATGTTCTAAGCCTGTTCTGTAAGGGGGCAAGAGCTGAGATGGGACCTCTCCCACCCCAGGCAGGGCTTGGGCTGCCCTTGTGTGCTACTCTGGTGCTGGAGAGGTGGGAAGAGCAACTCAATGAAAGAATCAGTTCTCAGGGGTTTGCCTGGAGTGGGGAGCTGGCAGGAGCAAGAGGGATGAGTGTGTTCCCTACATTTCAGGAGCTCTCATCCCAACCTTCTCTCAGCCCTGTGCCCCTGTAGGTAGGTGCAGAAGTCAGTGAAAATTTCCTGCAGCTGAGTCACCAGGCCAGAAAGGTCATTTGGGGGATAACGTAACTTAAGAAAATGAAAGCACTTTTTATTTTGTGATTTTCATTTCTTCTCTCTGTTGTGAGAGACGAGGAAGGAGGGGGCGGTACAAACCAGCCAGGCCTGACAGGATGAATCATTTCCGACCATTTTCCACCAGGGAATTTTTAGGCAGAGCTGGCACCAGCAGGGCTGTCTGGGGGCTGCTCCTCTGGAGTTTTTGGGTGCCCCTGGGCTGTGGGTGGCACACGCTCCCTGGCTTTGCTGGTGTTGGTGTCTGGTGCAGGGAAGGACCTTGTGCCAAGGGTGTCCCTCCACACACCTTCCCCTGGAGCTCCACGGCCTGCCTCAGGGGTAGTGTTTGGTCCAGGGGATAACAAATGCCACATCTGTTCTGCTCAGGGGGATGAGAGTTGCAATCTGCACCTGGTGTGAAAGGTGCATGTCCTGCCTTGATGCTTCCCCACAGCCCACAGGAGATGGGGGATCCATGGTCATGAAGGGCTCTCTCAGCCCTTACTAGCCCACATCTTTCATTTCCAGCTCCACAACATCTCCACCATGTCATTAGCAGCTGCTTTGATTGACCTTGTAAGAAGGAGAAGTCCCTGGGTCTCCTCACAGACTCACCTTCATGTCCTCCCCACATCAAATGTCAGGCCTTGAGGGCACTAACTGGCCATAATCATCCTGGCCAGCCTCATCTGTGGCTGCACAACACCTCTCAGTCCTCTGCCCAAGCCTCAGGAGCCCCATCTAAGCTCAGGTCTGTCTCTGGTCGCTGCTGTGTTGTGAGTGCTGCTCTGCTGTCCTGGCTCTGCTCCAGTCTCTTGGACAGACCTGGGTACCTTGTCTCCTGGCTGCATGGAGCCTTGTTGCTGTCCCCATTCCCTGTTACTGCTGAGGAGATTCCCCCAGCCTTCCCAAATGGATTCTGGGTTTGGTTCCTGTCCTTGGTGTGCCTGGGGCCACTGCTGGAGGCTCTGAGCCCTGTGCTGTCACCTCGCTGCTGAGGACCCTGATGTGCTGGGGCCACCCTTGGCTCCTGCCATGTCCTCTCCCACTGCTCCCTGCAGTCTGGACCTGGGAGACACCTCCGCCATCATCTCCTCCAAGCTCTGACTTCTCCCCAGGGTGGTGTGTGAGGGGAAAAGAGAAGATGCCACGTCCATCCTCTCTGGTTTGGGCTGTGATTTATGGCAGGCCTCAGCACGATTGCTTTCCTGTGAAATGTTGCACAAGAGCTCTCATGCTTGGGGCAGCCTCTGGTGATGCCACCATCACTTTCACCCTGCTGGCTCAGCACAAGGCAGGACAAGCAGGGTAAACAGCCTCAGTTCTGCTGCGTGGCTGTGGTTCTGCTGGCCTTTGTGTGCTTGATCTCCCCTTCTGTGAGAATTGTGTCCCTCTGGATGTCACTGCAGGGGCTGCTCTTGTTGCTGAAGTCCCCTGGGTAACACGGAGGTTGTTGGGACCTCTTTGGTGACTGTCACAGGTGATGGAGGAAGGCTCATTTCTTAAAACTTCAGAATTAACCCTGGAATTCTGCCACAAACCAAATCATTTAATAAAGAAGAAGATATAAGTGAGAGTCACCCTCCAAGGAGGGATGTGATGTCAGCTTGCTGACTCTGGCCATAACCCCATCATAAACACATTTCCATTACAACATCTAGGTACCTTAACGTGTCTTGCTCATCACATTCATTAACTGCATTTATTTTCCTGATTCCTGGGGTTTTATTCTAATCAAACACTAAGGAGTAGATAAATTCATAATTTGTTCTAGTGCCATCTTGAAATTATCAGGATTAATTCTGTTCAGAATTTAATCACTAAAAATTAGACTAGAATTGCTTCTATGTCCTTTTTTTTTTTTTTTTTTTGTTAGCTTTGCTTTAAAAGCTGAGCTGAGTCATCTGTCTGCTGCTTGCTTAAACTCAAGGAGCTCTAAAAGGCTCAGGGTTGAAAAAAGGAGCCTGAAGTCCCCATTAAGCATCATTTCCCCTGATTGCTACCCCACACGGAAGCCTCTCCAGCACAGAGTCTCCCTCACACCCCAGGTCCATCACTGACTTCACCCTGAGGTAGCTGATTGACTTCATTGGATAAAAATGGAAAAACATTTCATATTTAGTGTGTTTGAGGAAGCTGACATCAGATCTATTATTTCATCTTCCCTAGCAAGATAAGGTCACTTCCAGTTTCAGGGGTAGGTGCCTCTTCTTGGCTGTATCTGTGAGGTCCCTTGCATGCCCACGGTGAGTTCCTGCTCTCCCTGTGGACCATCAGTGTGGTGATGCTCAACTGGTGGGAAGAATGATGATGATGAGCAGAACTGTATGATATCAGAAGGTTAATTAATTACTTTATAATACTATATTACACTTACAAGAACTATATCATTACTGACAAAAACTTGTGACTCTCTGCTGAGAGTCCCGACACAGCTGTGTCTTAATTGGTCAATCGATTTAAAACACCATCACTAGAATCTAATCAAGCAATTACCTCGGGTAAGCAATCTCTGTGACACATTCCACAGTGCTCAACGAGTAGCCAGCAGCAAGATAAGAATTGTTTTGATCATTCTTTTCTCTGCTTCTCTCTCAGGAAAAATCCTGAGAAAGCTAAATCTGTCTCTGTTCAGAGGATGTGTGAATACCACATGTGAGTGCCCAGTGAGTGCAGACAGAACCTGGGGAAGGGCTCCTGGAGCCTTCCTGCAGCCTCCTGCCCCTTGACTCCGGGCAGAGCTTCCCGCACAGGAACTCAGATCACCAACTTACAGCACTTGGTGGTCCCCAGTGTCCATCTGTAGGAAGCAGACTTTGGAAGGGATTCTCATTTTTCTAATTTTAGAATGCCTTTCCAGGCTGTAGGACATGCCAGGGCTGTTCCTGGAATCACAGGGATTTTGGGAAGGAAGAAGAGAATCACCTTTGGTTGGTGATTGTGTCCTGAGTCGATCACGGATTTGTGGAGAGCCTGGAGGGAGCACCCCAAAGAAATGTGAAGGAGCTTTACAGCAGAAAGGGCAAAGAGGATTTAAAGAAGCCAAAAAAGGATGTCTCATCTTGGAAATGGAAAGTGACTCAGTAGAACAGAAGAAAGCAGGGAAAACTTATTCCAAACCCTCCTGCTGCCACCTTGGGGACAAGTTTCAGGCACTGAGTGATGCCCTTTTCTTCTGCCTTGCAGCCCAGCTGCTCTTGCCATGCCTTCCCAAGTGCAGGATGTCTGTGGTTGTTTTCCAGCACAGCTGGGAGTGCTCAGTCACCCACTGAGACCCCAAACCCAGCTCAGGGCTGTTCTTCCCTACTCCTTTGTCCCCTCGCAGGCACCATTGCTGGCAAAGCTGCATCTGATGGGTTCCCTCAGCCTCCTTTCTCCTCTTCCTGCAGAAAAACAAGATTCTGTTCATTTTTTATGTAAACAAGCACGTTCTCCAGAGTCCATTCAAATGAAAGAAAAACTTGGGCTGGCAGAGGGGCTTTCCAGCATTTAACAATTCATGCCTGCACATCAGCCTTTCCCTTTCCAAAGTGTAAAAAAATAAACATTAAAAGTTCTTCAGGGAGTTGTGAATCATCTGGCTTCCACAGACTTTTTTTCAAATCCTGAGAAAAGGGAAGCAGAGCATCCTAGGCCGGATCTTTGGCCAGAAAAAGAAACACAGATCTGCAGGATCTTCTTAAGGTGCATCCAGAGCAGTGGATCTTGAGCCTCCATCAGCAGGAAATGTGTCTGACAAAGCTGGACTTGGGGAGAACTGAGCAAGACCAGAGCAGTTCTCAGCATTGTGTGGTTTTTATCCCAAATATTTTAGAAGGCATCCAGAGATGACAGTCCCAGGCACAACATCCTGCTCCAGAGAGTGACTGGGGGTGCCAGTGTGAGGAAGGGCTTGAGGTGGCCCCTTGGGTAGTTCACAGGGAGTGAGGGAGGACTGTGGTGCCAGGGGATCTGCATGGGGCCCCACTGCTCCATGCATCCACTTAGAGTCTGGCTAAAAAGAGGGAAAGGTGAAAAAAGTGTCCGAGCTGAGCAAGGAGATCTGAAGAAAGGGGAGCCCAGCACGAGGGGGGAGAACTGTCCCCCAGGTTAACACAGAGGGGCTGACCCCTTTCAGCAGGTCCCTGCAGGGTCTGGGATGCCTCAAGGCTGTGGAGGGAAGAAGGTGATGGAAAGACACCCAAAATCTTTGAACAGTAACTTTTCCATCCATTCTCCTCAGCCTGGTGCTGACTCCTGCCCTGCCCTGAAGCCAGGGCTAAACCAGCCCTGTCCACAAGGAAAGGCTCAGCCACACCCCACCTCACTGCCCAGTTACAAACAGGGATTTTTGGTGGAAAACTTGGGTTTCTCTCCATAGTACCAACATGGAATGTGATGCAATTTCTGCTGGTATTTGCCAACTTGCCACTTCCAAGCCACAGGGGGCTGGTGGCAGCAGCAGTCACTGTGCTCCTGTTTAATTCTTTCCAGGATTCACAAGCCACCCAGGCATCTCCAGCACATTTGTATTGGCTCTGGGCTGAGTGACCTTGCATAGAACACCAAGCTTTGCCTTTCCTATGGCTATGAATCCCTCTCTGAAGGCCCAGGAGCTCTTCAATTTACATCTGCAGAGAGGAGGATTTCACTTCCTGTGTGACTTTCCCCATGTGGCTGAACACAGAAGTTGACACAATTAACTTAGTCTTTCCAGGTATTGTCTGTCTGTAACCCTAACGGTCCCATGTGATTTGGAAATTCCCCAGGGGCAAAGAAGCAGTAGCTTATCCTTGAATCATGAACCTGATTAGGAAACTCTTAGGACAGGGGATGACTGGGGAGGGGTAGAGAGGATAAATAGCAGCAGCTCCTCGCCTGAGCACAGAGTTGAGCTCTCCCAAAGAGGCAGAGCAGCATCCTGCAAGGAGGAGCCCTCCCAAAGCCACCATGCTCACTGCCAGGACAGCCACGCTGCTCGTTGGGCTCCTCACCCTCTCGCCATGCTCCCATGCAGGTAAAGCACCTCGTGGGCTGGGACCTGGGGCTCAGGAAGGGAACTCCAGTGTGGAGAAGGGATGCTGCTTCTGGCAGGAGGAGCAGAGCAGCACATCCTGGGCTGCAGGGAAGGCTGGAGACTGCTCCTGGGGCTGGGTGGCTTTGGCAGAGCTGCTGCAGGGCTGGGTGATAACCTGGAGCATCCTCCTGCCCTGGGAAGGAAGGAGGAGGGCACCTGGGGCTCCTCATGGCAGCATTTGCAGAGCCTGGGGGATGTGGTGTTCATCAGCCTGTCCTGGGGGAAGGTCCTGAAGAGAGGCTGCCTCCAGGGCCAGCCTCACCGTGCCTCTGTTTCCTGCAGCCCCTTACTCTCCAACCGAGTGCTGCTTCGACTACGTCAAGGGCGTTCTCCGGCTGGAAATCCTCGTGGGCTTCTACTCAACTTCCAAGGAATGCTTTCTCCCAGCAATTGTGTAAGTCCTGGCAACTTCCCTACTGCTCTGCTCTCTCCTGGGCTGCCATGGGTTCAGTTCATCTGTTCCATCTGGGGACAGGACAGGGACAGGTCTGTGTCATCTCCATGATCTTCCAGCACAAAGAGGGGAGGACGTGACTGCCTGGGCACTTCCACAAGACCCTTGCAGCTCCTGAAGCCTCTGCTCGGGCTCTGGAGGTGCTGGGCTGCAGGATGAGCTGCCTGTAGGACACCAAGAACCCAGGGGCAGGCACAGGGATGAAGGGAAAGGAGAAAGGGTGCAGGGGAGGGAGGATGGTGTGGGTGTAAGTGGAATCACAGCTGTCTTTCCTCACCAAGCTCCACCTTTAACCTTGGCAGGTTTGACACCAAGAAAAAAGCCAAGGTCTGTGCAAACCCAGAGGAGAAATGGGTGAAGAGAGCAATTAGAGTGCTTCTAAAGAAGAAAGGACTTCATACCCCGTGATGTGGAGTGGGTGCCCTGGTTCAGGATACCCAACATCCTGGTGGGACTGAAGGTTTGTGGTCGCCTTCTCAGAAGGAGTTCAGGATGTTCAGCTCCTGGGGGAGCACATTGAGTCCCCAGAGCCCTGAGCTGCATCCACAGCTGGGCACCAGCTCCTGGAGTGCTGCTGGTCCAGCCTGCACCTGCCTGCTGATCACAGCCACAAAATAAAGGTTACTTTGTATGATATGGGAGAGAGGTGTCCTTTCTTCTCCCAGCCCCACAGCCGTGCTGCTGCCAGCAGCTGGGGCTGGGATGGTGGCTCTTTGACTGGGTCTCAGGGCAGGAAGGGGTGGATGGGACTTCCAGGGGACTCTAAAGGGGCTGGAGACTCCTCTGAGGGTTTTTAGGTGTAAAACTGCCATCAGTTTCAGGCTCAGAGGTTTCAGCCTGTCCCATTTGCTGTCCTGTGGAGGAGCACAGCCTGTCTACCCCGTGTGCCCAGGTCTGTGCTGTCTCAGCTGGGCTGCAGAGGAAGGACAGAAGGAGAGGCTGGGTCAGACAAGGGATTCCTGCACATACAGCCCTGGAAATTTTGCCCCTGCCAGGGGCCATGGAAATCTCAGCAGTGATCCCTGCCAGGACTTTGGGAGGGGGAGCAGAGCTGGAAAGTCATGAGTTAAAGACAGTTTAATAAATAAAGCAAAACTGACACACAAGTAAAGCAAAGCAAGGGATGAATTCTCTCCTTCCCATGGGTGGGCAGGTGTTCAGCCATGGGGAGCAGAGCAGGACTCGCTCATGAGTAGCACTGACCTGAGAAGACAAATGCTGCAACTCTGAATGTCCCTCTGCTTCCTCCTTCTTTTCCCGTGACAGCGCAATAAGGGGGAAAAGAAAGGAGAACCAAGTGAAAAAAAGAAACCTACCCAAAAAGCTCCACCAAGTGATAAAGAAACCATCACTTGACACTAGCCCAGATGATGCTCCTGGGGAAGGGGATTTTGGCAGCAGCAGCTCCAGGGGTGTTTTCTCACCAGAGGCAAAACCCATCCAGAGCTGAGGGGTGATGCTGGCACACTGCAGGTCTGGAACCTGAGGTGTTACAGGCACCAAGGAGGTGGAGAACTCTGGGTGCACCAGGAGAGGCTTCAGCAGAAGCCTCTTCCACTGCTGCCTTTCCACTTCAGGAGTCCTGAGGCCAGGGAGTCACTGCTTGGACTCGGTGCCCTCTCCTGCTGGGATGCAGCCCAGACCTCGGGGCTCTGGGGGGGCAGGTCCAGCCAATGCTCTTTATCCAGCATTTTTCATGGACAAACAGTTCATGTTCCCCGTTAAAGTATTAGATTTTGTGATTATCCACTCAAAACCCAAAGCATTTTATGAGAAGTCAGAGAATATTTCCCACCTCTATGGTGCTGGTTTTTTGGGTTTTTTTTGGTCCATGCCTATCCATTTTAATTTCGAAAGCAGGGGTTTTCCTCGGTTAGAAAATGTGTATTCAATTACAAATTTTAGTGAGGTTGCAGATGGTTTAGACACCCATAAAATCGTCTGAAGAGTTGTTCCCCCCTCTTCTCTCCACTTGCCTTTGCATTTGCCCAAGCAGGAGCTCCACACCTGGGGCACAGGCTGTGTCACTGCTGGGGATGGCTCAGGAGGGTGCTGGGAATGCCCCAGGAGCTGCAGAGGAGGCTGGAGAAGACTAAAGCCAAACTCAAGGTCCACTGCTGGGGCAGGGAGGGAAGTCCAATCCTCCAGAGCCTTGTGGGGCCTTTCCAGGCCTTCAAACACCCAACATGCACTGATAAGGTCTATGAAGAGCAGATAGCAGAGCATCTACTAATGCTTCTGGAGAGAGGAATAAATAGCTACGGGAAAGGAGGAGCAACTGTGTGCCTCAGACAAGCCTGAAAAGGGAGCTCAGGGTTGGCACATAAGGTTTTGTGCACCAGGAGATGCTGGCTGGAAAAGGTCATTAGCTCAGTTCTCCCTTAATTACACTCGTGTGCCTTTAACCAGTGCACAGGGGCTGGTGTGAGCCTGGTGGCTGCTGGCCCTGGGGACGTGGACAGGGAGGGCAGGAGAACCTGGGGTGATGCAAAGCCCACAGAAGACTCTGGCTGCTGTGTGTCAGGCATTTTCTCCCTGCAGAGCCCTGCCTGGGGACAGTGGCACTAGAACCCAGTGGGGCTGTGCCCAGCTGTCTGTGTGGCCATCTGCCCTGTGCAAGGCCAGCAGACCCCATGTCCTGCAGACCATTTCTTCTAAACCAGCACTTTCAGCACATTAAATCTGTTTCCTTCTCCTTTCTCCTTTCAGAGAAGTCGTGCAGACATGAGTTAATCTTCAAAGAAACCTATTTCCACCTTTCTTCCCCTCTGAGAAGCCCTGGATTGCTTCATCCCCCAAGCCACAGCCAGATCCCTTCCTGTGCTCCTATTCAGCATCATCCTATGTTGGCTCCCAGCAGGACCTCACCTCTTCCTCACACACAGCTGCTTCTGCCTTCCCAGGGAGCAGATCCCTGCATGGAAGGGGCTGATGTCCAGCCGTGCTGATCCCTGGGCTGATGTCCAGCAGTGCCCCATGGTGCTGCCACCGGGATCTGTGCCACCGCCCCTCCTCCCTGGCATCCTCCCTGACGCTCTTGGGGCTGTGCTGGGATCTGCCCCATCTCCCTGCAGGAGATGTCTGGGCACTGATGGCCACAAGCCTCCATCCCCCAGCTCTCATTTCAATCCCAGTGCTGGTGTGGGAGACAGAGGCAAACAGGGGCTCAGGCGTGTTCAGACCCAGACTCTCCTCACACACCCCACTGCCCCTGCCTCCTTTCTTCCCCTTCCATGAAGTCTGCTGAACCCACCAAAAGCACCTCTGACACCTCCTGCTCTGGAGTCCCTTCTGCATCGGTCCAGTGTGACTTCTTCTGCCTGACTCCCATGCCATGCCATGCCATGCCATGCCATGCCATGCCATGCCATGCCATGCCATGCCATGCCATGCCATGCCATGCCATCCCATCCCATCCCATCGTGCTTTCCTGCCTAACCCAGTGCTGTGTGTGGCCGAGGTGGCTGGGGAGGTCAGTTTGGCTGGGACTCCATCACTGGCCTTTGACACTGGGCAGGCCAATTAAACCCCCTGAGATGTGTCCCTGCCCAGGGACTGTGGCTTGACTCTCCTGTTAGAAACAGATGAGCACTGGACTCGGTGTCCTGCCTGCATAGGAAGATGGTTTTAATCTGCTTTCAGTTCCTAGAAGCTCCCTTGCCACGTCATGGCTCTTCCATAGAATGCAGAACTGCTCCCCAAACCTTTCTACCCACTGCTGGATGTGTCCCAAAAATAAATGAGAGAAAGTCCCTTGACCCTTCTTAGTACACGCCTGAATTTTTGGAAATGCAGCCTGAGTGGGGGGCAGGCAGAGGATAAAAGACGGCTGGAGCCAGAGCCAGAGCCACGGGGCAGGGCGGCACAGGGCACGAGGAAGAGCCACCACAGAGCCACCACAGAGACACCATGCTCCCTGCAAGGACTGTCCTGCTGCTCACCCTGCTCCTCACCCTCTCCCTGCACCACGCCACAGGTAAGGAACCCCAGGGGCTGCTGCTGCAGGCCAGGGCTCCGAGCCCCCGGGGACAAACCAGTGGGAGGTGAGGCAGGAAACGGCCAGGGAGAGGGAATGGTGCTGCTGGCAGGAGCAGCACCCCCCTGGTCAGGGCAGGGCGGCACATCCCGGGATGCAGGGATGGATGGAGAAGGTGCTGGGTGGTCTCAGCAAAGCCAGGCCTGGGGGGAGGCTGCAGGAGCTCGGAGGAAGCTCTGGCAGTTGTTCCCCAGGTCTCAGCTGGATGAGCAAGGGGTTGGATGGAGGGAGCACATGCAGCTGTTTGGAGCCTTCCGAAACATCCTGCAAGTTGTGCTCCTGCCTTGGAGAGCCCCAAAGCCTCATCCCCAGACTGAGCACCCCAGCCTTACCGTGTGCTCTGGGGGCTGCAGCAATTCGGGCTGTGAGGGGCCAGGTCCCAGGCTATCCCCTCCCCACCTCTGTCCACGTCCCAGTCCTGGGCTTGCTGTGTGAAGGGTGGCAAACCCCTGTTGTAGGATGCTATGGGAGCTGCTGAGATGCCCCACAGCCTCTGTGCTGTGTTCCAGACCCATGCTCTGGTGATGCAATTCACAACATCCCCCCTTCCCTCCACAGCCCACTTTGCACCGGTGGAATGCTGCTTTAAGTATGCACAGAAACGCATCCGGCACCCTCAAAGCTTCTACGAGACATCCAAAGACTGCCCCAAACGTGCAGTTGTGTGAGTATCCCAGGGTTTGTTTCCCTCCCCAGATCTGAGATTCCAGACCTTTGGCTCCCCCATCCCATCCTGCCCCACAGACAGCTCAGTCCCAGCCAGGGGGGGCTGTGGTAGGAAAGCAGCTCTAGGGGGTGGGAAGAGGGGGGAAATGGGTTTTAGCACTTTCTGCTAATGGTCTGGGAAGGCTCAGACACTCACCATCAGCCCAAGCAGGGCACAGGCTGCTGCAGATGGCTCCAAGCCTTGATCCTGGATGGGGCTGCAAAAAGGGAGGGGAGAAATAGTGCACAGGAAGGGAATGGCTCATGGTTCCTGTTCTCACTCTTTTCCCTCACTTTCTCATTGCAGAATTGTGGCTGCTAATGGTGATCAGATCTGTGCTGACCCCGAGAAGGACTGGGTGAATAAAACAATAAAACGGCTTCAAAAGCAAAAATTAAACCCATCCACCATCTGACTTGCCCATCCAGTCTTCCTGTCTCTCAAGGGAGCCAAAGTGCTGGCAGCTCCTCTCCAGCAGCTGCTGTGGCCGTGGGCACTGTCCCTGCAGGCAGAGCCCCCCTGGACCCCGGCAGGACCAGGTGTCACCGTGCCATGGACCTGCCAGAGCCCGAGCTGCTCCTGCTGCCCCGCCAAGATGTGCTTGTGAAACAAATATTTATAATAAAGACCCATTGCCACAAGTTGCTGTTTGAATTTCTCCTGATTCTGCAGACCATGCAGCAGATCCTAACAAACCCAGGGCTTGCTGCAAGCAAAAAAATGCCTCTGCCACAGGCTCACAGTTCTCCAGGAGCAAACTGTGCCTGGTCACAGTGTGCTTCACTGGGAATGTGACAGTGGAGTCAGGCCTTGACCCACGGGTCCAGGACCCCTAGGTGAGGTTACCCTCACCCCAGGCAAAGCTGTACATCCTCAGGGCATGCTTGCAGCCCCATGGGCTTTGCAGGTGCTCCAGAATTAAGGGAAGGGTTCTGGGAAAAGATACTGGTCTACCAAACCCTTAATACCATGACAGCTTCCAAATGTGCTGGTGGTCACTGCAAAGTGTCTGAGGGAGATAAGGAACAATGTCCCCAGTGCCAGGAGGGTGAGGACACAACCCCTTCAGCTGGACAGAGGTGTCCTGGCTGCCTGTCCCTCCACAGGGCCAGGGAAGGGTGGGAGCAGTGTGGGATCCCAGATACTAAAACCAGGCTGCTGCCCATGGCAGAGGTGCAAACATACAAGGGAAACCTGATAAAGGCAAAAGCAAGGAATGGGGCAAATGATCCTCAGCCTAAAGCTCCATCAAGTGCTTTATGCTCATGACTAGAAAACACTTCAGGGCTGTATTTTCTAGGATACTGAATGGCACAGGATAAACATCCCTAATGACATTTTTGCCCATGAACTGTAAGCACGTGAGAGGAAGGGGAAGCTGAAACAGAATCAGATGCTGGGGGACAAACACCTCGAGGACTGTGCATCCCCTGTCAGAGGGGACACAGCCTTTCCTGATGAGCAGAGACTGACAAAGCACACAGCTCCACACTGGCTCTTGCACATGGATGTGTATTTTAATAAAAATAATTCTGTCAATATACAGCAGAATGTCGATTTCTTTACCATATTTCCAGTATATTTTCATAGGCTTTTTCTCAGTTAAAATCCACCCCCCCAGCCCCTTTTTTTAAGTTTTCATGCGAAGCGTCAGATAACTTAATTCACAAATACTAAGCGTAGACTGAACCAATGTGCACAGTTTGTGTAATGTCCACGTAGCCAATGTTGTACCAAAGAGGTGAAACTCCCTTCCAAAGGCCAGGAGAAGCCTGGAGTTGCACAGGGAGCTGTGCCCAGCGGTGGCCACTCCTCCAGGGCTGCCAGGAAAGCTGCGGAGACCTTGCACCCCATGCTCCAGCTGAGCTTTTCATACCTGAGTTTTGAGCAACCAGCAGGAGAGGAGAGTTCACTGCATGCTGGGCAGGTCCTGGGCTTGCACTGCTGTGTGTGGGAGCTTCAGGGGCTGCAGCCTCCTCCTGCCTCCCTGGCTGCACAGGCAGGACCGAGACACGATCCCAATCCAATGCCAGTGCAGTCCTTGGTCTGAAAGTCACCATAATCGTGGTTTTCAAATTTTCTTTAAAATCTGGATTATCCCCAGAGCTGCTGCTGCTTCTCCTTTCTCCAAGTCTAAGCCTGTGAGAAGCCCAGCATACAAAAATCCCTCTGTGCTCCCTTCTGGAGGAAGGATGTGGCTGAAGTCCTCCCGAGCAAAAACGTCCAGGCACATGCCTGGACCCAAGTGGAGTGACCAGAGAAAAGTTGTCTGCCTGGCCATGGGACTTCCAGCAAGGAGCAGAGGTTTGCATGGCCTCCAGGAATGTTTCTGTCATGATGTGAGTGTAAATTCCACACAGGACATGTGGGTTTGAGAGAGTTAAGTTTCCCTCCTGGAAATAAAAGAGCTGGCAGGACGTGTGTGTGCTCCTCAAGCCTGGATGATGCCCTGGCTTGCTGGGCACTGCTCCAGCTCGAGCTACAGGCTCTGAGCTCTGGTTTGGGATATGGGGAGAGGGACAGACGTACCAGATTCACTCATCCATCACCTGCCACCTCTTGTTGCAGGAAGGGTGGTGGAGAGCAGCTCGTGCTGTCTGTAGAAGAGGTCTCCAGGCTCAGCTTGTCCCTTTTCTTCCCAAATCTGCCATAGCTCCCCTCACACAGCCCCAGCAACACTTCCTCCAGCTCTTTGCCCCTACACAGCAGATGGGACAAGGCTCACAGCCAACTCTGAATCTGACCAAGAACTGCTGGATTGCAGGTCCCTCCATCACTCATCCCTCTGGGGCAGAAGGGTCCCAGCAGCACCCAGCATGTCCCCTGGCACGTCCCCACGCAGAAACAGCTGTCCCCTGGCAAGTCCTTCTGCAGAAACACCTTGGTACAGCTGGACACCCAACCCTTGCTCTCTGCCCCACCACTGAGGCTGCTCTCACACTGGCAGGGCTGGAAGGAAGTTGGTCCTTCTGCAAAGGGGACTCTCGGGTGGACCAGGACCCCTTGTTCCTTCTCCCAGGCTGTGCCCAGCTCCATGGGGCCTCACTGCACCCAGGACCTCTCTGCCCACCTGCTGCCACAGGACAGTCCAAGTCTGCACTGCTTCTTAAGGGGAGAATTCCCTGATTCCATGTGGTGCACCACACAGCTTCATGGCAATTACACACTGCTCTACAGCCTGGCTGCCACAGGTCACCTTCTCCATCAAGCCCAGCAGAACTCTGAAGTGTGTGCCTAAGCAACACGTGCTGCACGTGAACACAGACAGGCACCAAAGCACAGCTGCAATCCAGCCTGGCTTGCTTTGCTGGAGGAGGAGATGGTTCATCATCCCTGATACCCAAGATGGAAAATGACACATTCAATCCCTAGAACTAGCTCCAGCAGCTCTGGGTGCTCCAATTTTTCAAGGCAGCCTCAAGAACAAAGCTATTTAAAGAATGGTAAAGATGTCTTAATAAAACGTGAAAAACAAGAACATAGCTTGAGGACAGGCTGAGATGTCACTGTGAAAAAAGAGAAGGAAGGACATAGGAAGATCCTAGGTGTAGGTAACCATGAGGAATGATACTCCCAGAGGGGCCCATTCTCCATGCCAGCCACAGCTGCATCTCCTGCTGTCCACATCCAGTGGGCAGCAGCACAGTGAGGACCACCAGGATGCTGGAGGTAGAAACAGGCTCTACCCATCCTTCACCACACACCCCAAGGCAGCAAGCTCCAGCTTTGGTTCACAGGGGCTGGGGAGAACCTCCACTGGATGACCTCCCCTGAAGGGCTGGATGCTCTGCATTGTCCAGGGCCTCACTGGGAGCACCTCCCTGTCCTGCTGGCCACACACAAGGACTCAGCTCCTGACAGGCTCCAGAAGAATGGCACAGGTGCTGCAGCCAGCCCAGCTGCAGGCTGACAGGTGGCAAAATGGGACTGTCACACGTGGAAGTCCTTTAGGCCAGCAGGGAAGAACAAGCCAGGAAGGGCAGTTGCAGTTGTCACATCTATGCCTGGCACAGCCATGAACCACAGAGCTGCCCTGGACTTGGAGCAACTCCACAGCACCCAGCACTGCAGAGACCACTGTGCTCATGCACTTGGGGGAATACTGGGATTGTGGGAGGGAGAGAAGCAAGAAAGGGCTGCTGGTAGCAGTAAGAAGTTTTCCCAAAAGCAGCTGGCTCTGGGAGCACACTGCAGGATGCACAGAAAATAGACTGCTGCCCTCCTTGTTCACAGCAGAGCTCGACTGAGAGCTCTCCCAACCCTCCAAGTCTTGAAATAGCTTTGGTTAAATACTTGCTAGAGTAGGCTCATGGAGTAACAAGAGGAATAACTGGAACAAGATGGTTCCAAGAGGAACAGGAGGAACAAGAAGAACAAGATTTGGCTCCCCTGGTACAGGACAGATATCCACAAACTGGAATGCATCCAGCAGAGCCACAAAGATGGTCACAGGCTGGAGTACCAGTGTATGAGGTGGATACTCCTCCAAGAAACACTTATCCCAGCTACTCCAGTGCATCTCACTCCAAAGTTCCCCCCATGTATTCTTGATGCTCTCACTCTCAGCTTGTGGGGGCAGCACAAACCCTCATCCATGGGGAGAGAAGCCTGGTGATGTAATTCAGCTCCATGAAGCTCTCTCCACAGAACCCCTGAAGGACTCTTTAGCCAAGGCTCCAGTCTGGAGTTCCCAAAATACTCCTCTCAAAAGGCCACTTAAGAGGCAGAGCACTGGACTCAAACCCAAAGCCCAGGATGTGCAGAAATCAGGTTCCACCAGGTCTGTGAAATGTTTTCCTTCTGCAAGGCCTTTGCTGCAGTGCTACGTGCCAGGAAGGTGGGTGGGGTGTCCAGAGCACAGAGCTGGAGTGTGTTTGCTGCTCTCTAGATCACAGCTCTTTGATGGTGCCTTTGGACTGATCAGGGGGCAGCTGGGATTCTCTGAGTGTGCAGCCACAGCAGAGCTGGAAAAGGTTCAGCTGTCCCAGTGGTGGCATTTCCCAGGTCCTGGGAAGGGCAAGCAGCTGGAGAGCCTCTCTGGGGCAGAGGAATGCTGCTTGTGCAGGGTCCAGCTGAGCTCTGGAAAACCTCCCCAGCATCTGAAGCCAGCCCAGAGCAACCTGTGAGCCAGCCACACACGATGGAGTCCTGTACAGTGCCAGCAGCACTGCAGCACAGGGCTGTGGCTGAGTCCTTGTCCCCTCAGCAGAAGTGGGAAGCCAGCAGTTTCTCCTACAGGCTCCACAGCAAAACATGGCTGTACTGAAGGACTCTTGGGAGCAGTGACCAGGTTGTTTGAGGCACTTGGAAGAAAAGAACCCAAATCATTTTTATAAAAGTAACTTTTGAATTGCCATGTAGCCTCTGGTTAGGTGTACAGCCACATTCAGTGTTACAGACCCCATTTCACTTTAGCTCTGTTTTTAAAAAACTACTGCAATAATCCAACCATCAAAGAGCAGCCAGGGAGATTCAAAGGCAAGAGGCTTTGAAATACAACCTGAGAAAACCACATCAGAAATTCCATCTAGGAATCAGGGATAGGTTGGGACCTACATCCCATCACAAACACACTTATCTTTCCCATACTGAGTCACAGCCACATTAGTCAGAACCTGAGCAGAAGAAGCACAAACCACTG